ACCCGGCCGCCGCCCTCAACAGGTACGAGGAGTACAAGCGGCAGCACCAGGGCACGGCGCAGGCTTGCCGCGACGCGGACCTCGCCTTCATCCCAATGGTGGTGGAGGCGCACGGCGGGAGCTGGGGCGGCGAGGCGCGGCGCGCCTTCGCCGTGCTGGCTATGCGCGCGGCCGACGCGCGCGGCGAGGAGGCCGCCAGCACGGCGGACAGGATGGCCCAGCGACTCTCCATCTCCCTCCACAGGGAGAGCGCGCGGGCCATCTTGCAGCGCCTGCAGCGCCCGCGGCCCGGGGCGACCCCGGCACGCCTGGCGGCGGCGGCTGCAGTGGAGGCGGCGGTGGCGGCGGCCGTCGCGTGAGGCGCAAGGGCAGGCGGCGGGCGCCGAGGGCGACGAGGCGAGGGAGGGCGACCAGGAGGAGGAGGGGTAAGAGGGGGAGGAGGAGCAGCAGGAGAACAACGACGACGCCATGCGGAGGCAGCAGAGAGGCGCTGAGAAGCCCCGCGGAGGGTGGCGACCAGGAGGAGGAGGAGGAGGAGGAGGAGGAGGAGGAGGAGGAGGAGGAGGAGCAGCGGCTGGAGAGCGACGACGAGACCACGAGGAGGCAGCAGGGAGGCTGCGGGAGCCCAAAGGAGGCTGTCAGGACGACGGCCAGGAGGCAACGCACGACGAGCGTCGAGGAGGAGGAGGAGGAGGAGGGGGAGGAGGAGGACGAGGACGAGGACGAGCCGGCGGCCGGCGGCAGCAGGCCAGGAGGAGACCGCAGAGGCCCCCTGCCCGTCCAGCCAGGAAGGAGGAGCCCGCCGAGGAGGAGGAGGAGGAGGCGCCGCGCCAGAAGCCGCCGCAGAGGGAGAAGGTCCCGGAGCCGGCCGTTGAGGAGGAGGAGGAGGAGGAGGAGGAGGAGGAGGAGGAAATGGAACCTTTCAAAAAGTTCCTGGAGGACCCCGAGGCGTGCGCTGCGGCGAACCCGGTGGCCGCAGCGCCGGCGGCGGGCGGCGGCGGGCGGCGGCGAGAAAAAAAAGGAGAGGAAGGCCGCGGCTGTGGAGGAGGAGGACGAGGACGTGGTCTTCGACCTTTTCGGCTGAGCGCACCGCGGCGGCGGCGAGCGCGCGGGCGGCTCTGTACCCATCCCGGGTGGGATTCAAGTGGCGACTCTTTCGCTGATCGCAGACCCCCAGGGATGGCGAGGTCTAGTCTGAAAATGCGCAGGGCGTCGCTCCGCTGGACCCCCCCGCAGCCCTCGAAAAAGGCGGCAGTTTCACAGATCGCCCACGGGCGGCTATCCAGCCGCCGAGGCTGGCCCGCGGCGGGCGCCGCCTATGCATGCCGCGGCGGGCTGGACGGACGAGAGCGCTGTCGGGGCGCAGGCCGCCCGGGAGCGGCCCGCGGCGAAACTTGCGGAGGCGCAGGGTTGGACCGTGGCGGGCTGGGGGCGTTCGTTGGACCGGCACCTGCCGTTCGCCGAGCCACGGCCATGGCCACGACCACGACCACGCCCCGCCACGGCCACGGCCACGGCCACGCCTACGACCACGGCCACACCCACGGCCTGTACGGTCATGGCCACCATGGCCACGGCCACCACGGCCACGGCCACGCCACTACGGCCAGAGCCACCACTCCCACTGCCACCACGCCCACGCTACCGGCGCTGAAGGCCCCAGTGGGCGTCAGCGATTTCGAGCACGCGCAGGCGCTAGCCAAAGACGACGATCGGGTCCGCGTGCTATTTCGCGACGCCGGGCGGAAGGGCTTGACCAAAACCGCTTTGGACGGGCTCCAGATCTTGGCGCATCAGGGGGTGGCCACTGGGGCCGAGCTGAACGAACTCATCATGCAGGAGGCATCGTTCGCGATGGTCTACGAGAACACAGCTGTTCCACGGAGGCCTGACCGAGCTGCTGGGGCCCCCATGCGATGGTGCACGGCTCCATTAAGACGTCCATGGAGTGCAAACATTGCAACGCGGACCGCTACAACGAGCTGCTCACGTCGCCCAGCGGCCTGACCAGCAGGTCCAGCTTGGCGCGGCGTTTCGCGGTCGACCCGAAGAGCGACGATGAGTATCCAGAACGCAACGGTTTACAGGAGAACCGCCCCACAAGTGCCGCGAGGCGAAGTGTTTGGGCGCTTGTGCGGAAAGGCTGCAGACGAAGAGCGCCGAGCTACAAGGCGCCGGCGCGGGCGCTGTTCTGTTGGAGGACGAGCTGATCGCCGGCAGGCTTTACACCGGTCCTCTGCGCGAGAAGTGCAACTCGTTCTTGCGAGCGGCGAACGGGGATCCTTTCGCGAAGAAGAAGTTCGCCGACCTGTGCATGGGGAACCCATGCACTTCCACTATCCATTGCATCATCAGCTGCGGTATTATATCGTCGAAGCTGACCAGGCGCGCGTTGCTCAGTGCGGATTCAAGAGGGCGCGCTTGCCCGATTTCTTCTGGAATCCGAATCCGACAGGTCTGACAGGCATCCGCGCATGGCGCACCTTATACGAGGGGTCGTGGCCTCGGGGGCGCGAGCCCCCAGTTTGTTTTTTATACGTGTGCCCCACGGCCTCGCGGGACAGAGCACGCAATCCGGGGGAGGTGAGGTGCCGGTTCGAGGCTTTCCCGCCCTCGCGCGGCCAGCATCGACTAGACGCCTGGCATCGCTCGGACGTGTGCATTTTGCCTTCGGCGAGGACCATCGATGAACATCCTTGACCATTTGGCGAAAAAAACACGTACGAAACCGAAAAAAACACACGGAATGGACGTCCGAGCGATGGCGAGGACGTAAGAGTGACCTTTCGCCGGAGTGACCTTTGGTGCGGGCACGGGTGGGTCCCCAGATGGCGCGAAACGAAGCAGGAGCAACGGCTCGCGCGCCCAGGTCTGGTCCCCGCGCGGCCTCCAAAAGGCCGCGCACCGAAGGTCACTCTTACCCAGGGTCACTCTTGCGTGTAGCCGACAGTAACAACCTACCGCTTGCGGTGGGAAGCAGAAAAAGCAGCGAGCGCAAGCCACGCAGCCTGATGGCCCCACAAGCAGTCCGGAATGGGCCGTCCGCATCTCTTCAGGCTCAAGTTCCTTGCTTCGCCTCCCTCTCCCCCCACTTTCACCAGGTGGACGTTTTCTCATTCCTTGTTTTGCCAATCGGCGCGGGCCATCCCCCCTGGAGTGGGTCTTGGCTGTTTCTGGCGCCTGTTTCAGGCAGGTGGGGTTCCCCCAATAGGACGCACGGTTCCAGGCAGTCGCACTAAGCAGAGGTCTGGAGCCAGACCCCCCCCCATTCCATGTCGAAACGCCGAATAAGAAAACGCTCACCAGTCAAGATCCGTGTGTGTACATCGCCGTGACGAAAGTTTCTTCCAATGTGCCTTTTGGAATGACGCGCTCGTGCGGAGTAGTTCGGAGTATTTTTACTAAAACTGCTCCTCGCGCAATCGCATCCCGCTCGATAACTTGCATGGTTTGGCGCGGAGTAGTTCCCGATCCCGTTTTGGGGCAACAGAGTTATTAACGTCTCCGGGATCGGAAACTACTCCGCCAGATGACCCCAGCATCATGTCATGTTAGGAATCTTGAGAGGGATGGGAGAGATCTGCATCATAGCAAATTGAAGAAATGTTTGTCACGGCTGTGTGCAATTTTGGCTTGTTTCCCCGCGACGCATTCCCAGTGCCAGCACAACTCCAAGCTTCATCAAGCTTCGTGGCCCCACAGGGAGATCCGCCAGAGGCGGTGGCATGCTCATCGCCATCACCAGCATCGCCATGATCGGCATCATCGCAAGCACAATCATGACCATCATCTTCATCGCCATCACCATCGACGCGGCATCGGGCCCTGATCGTATGAAGCCATGAAAGACGGGACGGGCTGAGATTTTCCTTGTGCAATTTTTATTGTTTCCCCGCGACGCATTCCCAGTGCCAGCACAACTCCAAGCTTCGTGGCCCCACAGGGAGATCCGCCAGCGGCGGTGGCATGATCATCGCCATCACCAGCATCGCCATGATCGGCATCATCGCAAGCACCATCATGACCATCATCTTCATCGCCATCACCATCGACACGGCATCGGGCTCTGATCGGATGAAGCCATGAAAGACGGGACGGACTGAGATTTTGCCCATCGCCGTGACGAAAGTTTCTTCCAATTTGCCTTTTGGAATGACGCGCTCGTGCGGAGTAGTTCGGAGTATTTTTACTAAAATTATTCCTCGCGCAATCGCATCCCGCTCGATAACTTGCATGGTTTGGCGCGGAATAGTTTCCGATCCCGTTTGGGGGTAACAGAGTTATTAACGTCTCCGGGATCGGAAACTACGCCGAATGACCCCAGCATCATGTCACGTTCGGATTCTTGAGAGGGATGGGAGAGATCTTCATCATAGCAACTTGAAGAATTTTTTGTCACGGCTGTGTATAGCTCGAACTAAGAACACGTTCGCTCAATTATCGCAGCTGCGTGTGCCGAGATCGCGATGGCACGCGTCACCTCTCACACAGACGACCTGTGGCCCACACGGGCGCGTGCACGTGAACGAAAATCCTCCTCATCATCCTCCTCCTCGTGGTCGTTGTCCTCCCTAGCTCGCCTTGGTCCTTAGGAGCAGGATTGGGACCAGGACGAGGAGGACGAGGGGAGACGATGAGGAGGCCAGGAGGAGGGATGAGGACGGCGAGCAAGAGGATGGCCAGGAGGAGGAGGATGAGGAGGACGACGAGAGAGAGGGAACGAGGGAGGGCGGAGGAGGACGACGACGATGACGGGTAGGAGGAGGACCTCTTTTCGTCGCTCTCGTCGTCGTCCTCTACTTCCTTTTCCTCCCTCTGCTCCCTCCTTTTTTCCTATTTCTTCTATCCTCGTCCTGATCAGTTTCCTCCCAGTCGTCGTCGTGTTCATCCTGCTACCCCTGGTCCTCCTGGTCTGCCTCCTCTTTCTCCTCCCCCTCTCCATCCCCCTTCTTCTCTCACTCATCCACCATCGTCCTTCATCCCGCCTCTCCCTTCCCCCTCGCACTGCTCTCTTTGTCATCCACGCCGGTGGCCTCATCTCGCCTCTCCCGCTCTCTTTGTCATCCACGCCCGTAGCCGTTTTGGCTCAAACCAGTTTGGCCCAAGGAGTGGCTCGGAATCGCATTCTCTAACTCCCGCTCGTCCGCCTACTTGGCAAAGAGACCATGAAGCTCAACATTGCCAACCCAACGACGGGGCTGCAAAAACTGATCGAAGTGGACGACGACAAGAAGTTGCTGCCGTTCTATGACAAGCGTATGTCGGTCGAGGTGTCGGGTGATTCTCTTGGCGATGAGTTCAAGGGCTACGTCTTCAAGATCTCCGGCGGCAACGACAAGCAGGGTTTCCCGATGAAGCAGGGTATCCTCTGCAACCACCGCGTGCGCCTCCTGTTCAAGAAGGGCATGTCCTGCTACCGCGAGCGCCGTGCCGGCTGCCGCAAGCGCAAGTCCGTCCGCGGTTGCGTGGTGGGCCCCGACCTGGCCGTTCTCGCGCTCACGTTGGTGAAGAAAGGCGCCGAGGATCAGTATCGTTTAACCGATCCCTACCCCCATGCCAATCCTCATCTCGACCCCATCATCCCAGCGCCCAAGTTGGGGATGTACCCTTCAAAATCCAGGGGGAGCAGCCTGTATCCCCATCTAGGGGGGTAAATCGGCCAGTGGGCCCAGGCCACACCAGTATCAGGAGGGGAAAACACACACACACACAATGAACCGTCGACTCCCAGGAACATATGGGACAATATGGGAAGTGGGGGGGAAGACAAATAACCCAGAAAATATGGGAAAATATTGGGACTCCTGTTGTTTGTGTGTATTTTTTTGTGTGTCCCAGGGCCCCTTCACAGCAGGGGGAGGGGATCGGTGAAGCAGTGCTCGGAGGAGATCCCCGGGCTGACGGACGACCAGAAGCCGCGCAGGCTGGGCCCCAAGCGCGCCTCCAACATCCGCAAGCTGTTCAACCTGGAGAAGAAGGATCGGGGTCGGACAGACCTCCTGCCCTGACGCGTCGATTGAGGATCCCTGACTCCAGATCCGCCCTGCTTGGGCTTTTTTTCCAACTTAGAATTGCGTCGGAAATCCACCTATAAGAAGCCGAACAAGTAGGGCGGAAATTTCTGCACCCAGCATAGAACAGGGCGAAAATCCACAGAAGTAGGGCGGAAACAACAACAGAAAAGTAGGGCGGAAATTGGCATCAGCGGGGCTTGAAAAGTAAGGCGGAAATTCCAAGCCCTACTTACGAATGTCCCCAAAGCAGGGCGAATCCGGAGTCAGGGATGGCCGTTTTCGGTGTGCGAGAGGGCGTCGCGGCCGTCAGTTTCGCGGGTCCAGGTCCGTCGGTTTTGGTCCCAGGCGGTTTTCACTGCTGAGGGGAGGTTTGCTAAAGGGAGGTGTGTCCACTGCCGGAAGGACAACCCTTGCAACTTCGTGGTGCGCCGGGCTATCGACCGGGGTGAGGGGAAGATCGAAGAAGGAAGAACACAACAAACATAAGCGTTTGGCGCTCCGTGCGGATTTCTGGGATCCGCGCTGCCCGCCCCCCCCCCGGCGGCGCCTCTGGCGCCGCCCTTGGCGCGCTCCGGGGTCCAGCGCAGATCCAAGAAATCCGCGCGGAGCGCCAACAGTTTATGTTTATGGTGTTTTTTCTCCTTCTGGAAGAAGCCCAAGTCCAAAGCCCCCCGCATCCAGCGGCTGGTCACGCCCGCGATGCTGCAGAGGAAACGCTACTTCAAGGCCGCGACCCGCAAGAGAATGGAGAGCGCCAAGGAGATGAAGCAGCAGTACGCCAAGCGCCTGTCGGAGTACCAGAAGGAGAAGAAAGAGGCGCGCGCCGCTGAGGTCGCCAAGAAGAAGAAGGCGTGAGCGCCCGTAGAGCACCCTCGCCGCTCGTCCGTGCACCGCCACACCTCGCCCTCCTAATCCTCCTTCTCCTCCTCCTCCTCCTCCTCCTCCTCCTCCTCCTCCCTCTACTCCTCCTCCACCTCCTCCTACTCCTCCTCGTCATTAGGATGATGGTAAAGGGGACGATCCAGGAGCATGATGATAAAGAGAAGGAGGAGGAGGAGGAGGAGGAGGAGTCCCTTGCTGCTCCTCCCTCCTTTCATGTACCCCCTGCGGCTCTTCCTTAAGATGGATGGTGATTTAGACGACGGTGGCGAGGATGAGGAGGGTGTAGTGGAGGAGACCTCTTCGTCCTCTCTCTTGCCCTTCGTGGCTTTGCGAAACAGATGGGGAAGCTGGAACAGGAGGGTGTGCCTGGCTTCCTTTCCCTGTCTGGCCTCCTATTCCTCTTCGTCCTCCACTCCCTCCTCCGCGTCCGTGAGAGGTAGAGAGCGCGAGAGAGAGAGAGATAACGAACGAAAGAGAAAGAGAGAGAACGAGAAACCAAAAGAGCTGGAAGCGACCATACAGTCGGGGCCCTGCAGACGGAACCCTGTTCGTTGGGGAGGGGCTCGGTGTGCCCTGATTGCTCTGCAGTTTGCCTCCTGTTTTCCTGAGGCTTCCCATGGGAGATCGAAGTTCAACTTATGGGAGAAAGGGGCCCCGTTCATTATTTGGGGTTCCTTAGGTCAACGCCCCGACCGTAAGGATGCTGTGCTCGGATCGGGCGCGTTCTTTAGCGGGGGAGGCAATGCGTGCGGGGAGATGGAGGACTGCATCCGAGTGGCCTTCTAAACTGCCACCGCGGGCCGACCAAGAGGCCCCCTAGAGGCCCCAAACAAGGCCCAAGAGGTCTCCAAGAGCCTCCAAGAGTCCTCCGAAGCACGCCCTAAGAGTCCAAACTCCTTAATTGTTTCAATTGTTTTTGAAGGAGTTGTTCCTTCTCGCCTTCTCGGCCAAATGGTGATCGTTTTTTTTTCTGCACTGCCTTGCCAATCGGCGCAGGCCCTCGCCCTCCCCCCCTCCCCCCCCCAGGGCTCATTTCGATTCCTCCGATTCGATTCGATTCGATTCGATTTCGGCGGCTTCAGACTCCGATTCGATGCGACTCGGGATTCCGATTTGGGCTCCGATTCCTTGCTGGAGGCACACCAGCCTGCCGATTTCCGCCTATTTGAGTTTTCACGACTCGGCTGCCGATTTCCGCCGATCCGATTCGTTTCGATTGCCGTTGTCGATTCGACTCTGGGGGCGCCTGCCCCCCTTGGAGTAGATCTTGGCTGTTTTTGGCGCCTGTTTCAAGCAGGTGGAGCCCCTACGCCATAGGACGCACAGTTGCAAACAGCCGCGCTAAGCAGAGGTCCGGAGCCAGACCCCCCCCTCCCCCCCCCTTCCCACTTTTATCTGCCCTCCGTGAAGGAGAGCCCGACAGCAGGTGGCGCATCCCTCCTCCATCTCCCCTGCCGCTTCTTCTTCACCATGTGCAAGGGAGATGCTTGGTCGTTGTCCTCCTCCTCTGGGTCGGCCCGCCCTCATCTCTCCACCCTCCGGCCAGGGCTGGACCCAAACGCTGTTTTGCTGGACTTCGGCTGTGTTCTGGTTTTCGTTCGGGCAGGGAGGTACAGGAAACAGGCAGAGCAAAACGACAACAAAACGAAAAGCAACGTTTGGGTCCAGCCCTGCCTCCCGCTGCGGCGGATGCTCTGGAGCCGAGGAGGCGCGCTGCAGGCGAGCGTTGCGCGGGAGCCTCGGGGCGTCGTGCCCGCCCGGGCGAGCGTGCCGGCCTCGTGAGGAGGCGGAACAGGCCGGACACGAGCTACAGTCGACCCGCATAGGAAGTCAGAGGAGGACAAGGTACCCGTACCGCTACCCTTCACTGTTTTCCCCTTTTTGGGCCTCGTGGCAGGTCCTCGTCGCCACCGCTGGATTCGTCTCGGAATTCTGGCCAGAACGCACTCCGGAGCATGCCCAGGGAGTAGCGGTATCGGTACTCTTTGGTATCCCCAGTAAGTATGGTCAACCTTCCCAAGGTTGCCCCTGCATCCTTGGTCGCTCGGCCCATCCTTGGTCGCTTTCGCTGGCCGCTTTCCAGCCGAGAAGCTCCGAAGTGGGCGACCAAGGCCCTGGCATCCTGACCGCGCGTCCTCATGATACGGGCCGACTGTAGGAAAGGCGTTTTGTCGCAGGCCTAGAGGTTGACACCAACACCAAGATCGGCGGTGTGCCTCAGCCGAGGGAAAACGATCCCGATCTCGGTGATGGTGGCAATATTCTGGCTTCCACGGTGACCGAAGTATTACCACCAACACCGAAATCTAGGATCATCTGCCCCATGTGCAGGCAACCCCCTGTGCTGGTGTTGTTGCCAATTTCCAGGCCTCTTATTTTGTCAGGAGGGGAAAACACACACAGACACAATAAATCGACGATTCCCCTGAAAATATGGGAAAATATGGGAAGTGGGGGGAAGACAAAAACCCAGAAAGAACAGGAAAATATGGGGAATTCTTTTATTTGTGTGCATTTATTTGTGTGTCCCAGGGCCCCTTCGTTTTGGTCCGCCAGTCTCGCTTGACGATAGGGGCTACTCAGGGCGGGGGGGCGGCCTCCGAGCCGGGCGGAGTGGAGCGGAGGAGAGGGCCCCGACTCCGGCTCCGCCCTACTTGGGGAAAACTCGTAAGGAGGGCTTGGAATTTCCGCCTCATTTTTCGAGCCCCGCTGATGCCAATCTCCGCCCTACAGTCGGGGCCCTGGAGAAGGAACCCTTTTCGTTGGGGAGGGGCTCGGTGTTCCTTGATTGTTTCACAGCTTGCCTTAGGTTTCTCCTGAGGTCTTCGATATGGAATCGAAGTTTCACTTATGGAAAATCAGGGCCTCGTTCCTTATTTAGGGTTCCTTAGGTCAGCGCCCCGACTGTACTTTTCTGTTTTTGCTTCCGCCCTGCTTCTGTGGATGTTCGCCCTATTTTATGCTGGGTGCAGAAATTTCCGCCCTGCTTTTTCGGCTCCTTATAGGTGGATGTCCGACGCAGTTTCGAGTTGGGAAAAATGCCAAAGTAGGGCGGATCTGGAGTCAGGGGGGGTTAGTCGGTCTTTGAGCAGGCACCGAGAAGGGCGGAGTTGGAGGTGGAAGGACGGGAGGTGCAGGGAAGTGCGATGAGGGAATCAAGCCGAATGAAATGACCCAGCCGAGGCTCGGCCGCGACCTGCTTCTTAGGGCCAACTTGCACCCCGCCTGGAAGTATAGCATCAACGGTCTTATGGAACATCCGAGCCAGCTTGAGTATCGTCACTTTGCTTTTCCCTCCAGGGCTTTTAATTCTAGTTTGACGTACCCATGAGTAGAGTAGCGTCGGGTTGAATATCATGCGTCAGTCTATGCTCGCTTTTGGGAAATTCGTAAGTAGGGCTTGGAATTTCCGCCTTACTTTTCAAGCCCCGCTGATGCCAATTTCCGCCCTACTTTTCTGTTGTCGTCTCCGCCCTGCTTCTGTGGACTTTCGCCCTATTTTTTGCTGGGTGCAGAAATTTCCGCCCTACTTGTTCGGCTTCTTATAAGTGGGCTTCCGACGCACATTTAAGTTGGAAAACAACCCAAAGCAGGGCGGATTTGGAGTCAGGGTTTCTTGAAACCACAGGCTGTCCGGGGGCAGGGCGATGGCGAGAGCCCCGGGTTTTGGAGAAGGACTCCTCCTCCTCCTCCTCCTCCTCCTCCTCCTCCTCCCCCTCCTCCCCCTCCTCCTCCTCCTCTCCTCCGCCTCCTCCCTCTCCTCCTCCTCCTCCTCATCCCTCTCCTCCTCCTCCTCCCTCTCCTCCTCCTCCTCCTCCTCCTCCCTCTCCTCTCCTCCTCTCCTCCTCCTCCTCCCTCCTCCTCCTCTCCTCCCTCCTCCTCCTCCTCCTCCCTCTCCTCCTCCTCCTCCTCCTCCTCCTCCTCCTCCTCCTCCTTCTCCTCGTCCTCCTCCTTCTCCTCCTCGTCCTCCTTCTCCTCCTCATCCTCCAGCCGCCATCTGGGCCCAAGAGATTGTCAGGGCGGCCCGCGAACCAACTTGACTATTACACAGCATGCGGAGAAACACATAGCTGGGCGGAGGC